CTAGGCTTGTTATTATTATTAATAGCATCAACATAAAGTACATTCAATTTGAAGAGCCCCTCAGCCAGGTAACCTTTTCCCACATACACCCCACCCTTGGAGATTACAAACTTATCAGATTCAAGGACTAATTTGAAACCTTTGTTACTCAGAAGTGATCCAGAAATTAGATTCTTGTGAATATCAGGAACATGCAGAACATTGGTGAATGATAGCTCTTTTCCAGAAGTGAGTTTAAGCGTCACTTTTCCATTCCCTACAATGGCAGATACAGTTGCATTTCCCATGTACAAATTTTCTCCACCATCAATTGGTTGGTAAGACACAAATAAATTCAAGTCAACACAAACATGCCTTGTTGCTCCTATATTAACCCACCAGTCATTGGAATTAGTTAATAAATTGACCTCAGATACAACAACAAACTTGTTTTTTGCAATGTTTGCTTGATTTGAATTCTCAGTATTTGATCCTTCTTGTGGTGGCAATCCTTTGCCCTATGACCTGTCTTTCCACAAACCTAGCAACCTCCTTTGATTTTCTTGAAGGTTTTCCCTTTCGCAGCAGTCAGTGCTTTCTTTGCAGCATCCTTGCCTTTATCTTTCTGATGGTGCTTTGCCTTGTGCAAATATCCTCCTTTCATAGTATTGGCTTTTGCCTCTAGCGATGAGGCATCATATTTCTCATTTTTTTGATGATCCTCTTCCACACGCGCTTTGAGAATCAATTGATCCATGCCCATGTCTTCAGCTGGATGCTTCAGATAAATCTAAAAGTACTTCCAATTTGAAGGCAGTTTCTCTATAATAGAGCCAACCACAAAGCCTTTTTTCAGACCAAGATTCTCTTCATCTAGCTCATGAACAATCACTTGGAGTTCTTCAACTTGCTTGACAACAGACTTGGTGTCTTATAATTCAAAAATTTTCCAATCACAAACTTCTTGGAACTAGGCTACTAGCCATTTTAGACTTATATTTTTTGTCCAGAGACTCCCATAGATCTTTAGCCATCTTATATGATGAATAAACAACATACAGAGAGTTATCTAAAGCATTCAGAATGTAGTTCTTGCATAGAAATTCATTGTGAGTCCATGCTTCTATAGCTTGCAGAATTTCAACAGGAATATCTCCCTCTTCTGGTGCTTCATGGGCCTCAGAAGTAATGACGTGACTCAAGTTTAGAGTTGTCAAGAAGAACAACATCTTCTGTTGCCAACATTTAAAATCAACTCGCTTGAATTTCTCAGGTTTCTCAACGTGTTGCTTGACAACACCAACATTTGATTGATTCATGGAATAAATTTATGTCTTAGATTGTTAGAACCAATCAAATATCAATTATACAATATATAATAATTGCACAGTTTATTTCGAATTACAATTTCACTATATATACAATATACCAGAATATGAACAATTAATAAAATTGCATATAAAATTACAACAATAATCACTGGCTTGTTTATGGAAGATAGAGGCTTGCAGTAGCAATCTCCTAAGACATAAATTTGCCACTACACCAGTGTAGTAGTTCACGTATGTCTATCTTGCAGGATACAACTATCTAACCGAAGTTCCTGCACTCGAACTTGGATTCTTGGCGAATTTACTATGTGTTTCTCTGTCAAAGATCAAAGAGAGAGCGATGGAATTATCTCTTCGTTTCTAATATCACAGCCATATATACGATGGCGTTTTTGAACAGTTATGGATGTTCATTTTTATCCTTTCAGAATGAATGGAACTATTTTTTTAAACAGCCTTATCCTTTCGAAAAAAAAAAAAATTGAATCTTAAAATCAAAAATGTAAAAATCATACTTGTGTTTTTCATCCATCCGAACCTTTGGAGGCCTATCTTTGACATTGAATATATACACCAAAACATTCCCAGTTCAAGGCCCAAGGTCCATGACTTTGGCCCAATTCCTTTCAAACAGTAAGTGAGTGAACTCATTTATAAAGGGGAATTAGAGTATAGAGTGTATGGTCGATGTGGGACAATAGTCCCTCACAAGTTCCAACACATACCTCCCAAAATCTCTAGGAACGCAGCGAGTTTTGAACACCCAGAGAGAATGAGTTTTAAGGGATCCCAAGCTGATAGAAGGAAGACTCTCTAGACTTTCACAACCCTTTAAATTCAATAAACCAAGGTGTTGGAGACTCCCATTTGTCGGGTGAAGCTTCAATAATTTCACACAGCCTTCAAGGATCAGCTCCTCAAGATTTGGGACCATACTGAAGTCCAGAGTCTTTGTCAAGCTTTGAGAGTTAGAACGATCAATTTGCACCAAATTTTCCGTCAACAGAAGCTGCTATGAGATATTAGGAAAGGGAAAAAAAAAAAATCACCTGAACATCTTCCTCCACAAATTATGCGCATGATTCACTGCCAAAAAAATAGGCATAGTTAAGAGTGTCTTACCTTTCATTCCATAGATGCTTAATGTGGCTGTTAGGCATCTAGAGTTCAACAAGCTGAAGTGGTCCAAAACTTGATCGCAGAGATTCTAGCGGAGATTCATGCCACTCCAAAAGCTGTAACTTCTTAGAGAAATATTCAGGGCATTCATAAAAGTTTGCATGACAAATCTTCAACAATCTTAGGTTTGTTGGAGCAATATTAGAAAATATGAAAATAGCACAAAAATTCCAATAACAATAATCATAAGAAATTCATAACATCATTATGTATGAGATTAATATAAACAACTAGAGAGAAAGTTAGAAAAATTGACAAACTTGAAGATTGAGGCTTGCATAAATGCAATGTCCTAAAGATAGAATTTCGTCCATACTCTTGTGCTTGTAGTTCGGTAGGCGTTCGTCTCCCAGGATTCAACAATCTATAATCCGAAGTCAAAGCAGACTCTAGAAAACTTCATATATTCCGTACTTTCAAGGCATGACTCGAAATTTGAGTAACAAAGAATAAAAGACCTTGGATAAAACTTTTCTCTTGATTATTTAGATGAGTGGGACGATTGAGTTCATATAGAACTCAAGCCATCCATTTTCAAACATTATGACCGTTGCCTAAAGTTCCAACGAACAGATGCAACTCATGAATTTGAATTCAACCATAACACTTGACTCTTATTTTTCATTCATATAAAAATTAAATATTATAATACATAATTTCCAACAAGGTTGTACATTTTGAGAATGGGTCTGCATCCAACTTTATTAGTCTCGTCTCAGGCAAGCATAGGAACATGCCTTCAACAAGACTTGTTCCCTACGACCAAAACGATAAGGTTCAAAAGTTAGATATATAAGCAACCAAGTAACACAAAAAAAAAGTGATCAAATGTAGGACATGCAACATCCTTTTAAGCAAAAAGTGACCAAATAGATAAATTTTGAGGTGATTCCAATTAGAGGATGTTCGTGACTCTCTCCGTTTGTCACTGTCAAAGTTTTAGATTTTTCTACCAAGCTGATAATGTATGGCAACATAATAAAAAAGTAGCACGCAGTGTTGAGTGCTGTCAAACTGATGTTTTGGGCCTTGGAGATGGTGTCTTTTGGGTTGGAGGCCTTCTACAATTATGTTCGAGACATCTCAAGCTTTAATTCAAATCATTTTGGGCCTGAAACATGGCTGATTGTTAGCCACGTAGATTTTCCATATTTGATTAGGATTATGTTTTCTAGTTTCTCTTAAGTTATTTTGTTTCCTACTTCTTAGAAGACATTTTTCTAGGAAGGATTTTATTTTGTATTAGTATAAAGAAGGCTATTTAGCCATTAGGGTTCTCTACGCATTAATTGGAGAACTGGGCTAGGTGTTTTCTATTATTTTCTATTTCAATTAAATTCCTTTTGTTTTATGATTATTTGTAACAAATTCTCTTTTGCTAGGGTGAGGCCACGAGCCTTAGTTTCTTTTCAATTTACTTATGATATTATGCATGCAAGTTTTGAATTATCAATCACCGTGTTTGAACTATCTATTTGTCTTAATGCTTGATCACCATTAGTATATTTAGAAAAGTAATTTGATGCAATTTTGGTTGAAAGGCTGTCCCTAAAATTGGTAGCGTTTCTATGATTAATAGTTGTGATTTCACTTAGGATAAGAGTTGCATGGTTTTTCAAAGGGTTTCACAAAGCTTAATGAGTCTTGCATGTTTAGATTTGACGTGAATACTACAAATGGATTCCATGTTTGATATACGTTCTAGATTGAGGGTCCAAAGGAAAAAAAAACACATGCTGATCCTGCAATCTTCCCAGAAGTTATACCCAAGTTTATGTGCTAAAAGAATCTTTCCTAGAAAGGTTGCAAGAAGACCTAAGAGTTAATGTGTTAGGGGAGTTTCATACAAATTTAGCATCTAGTAAGTCACAAGGTAGGCCCTCTAACACATTGGTGAATTCGGATACAAGGCAGACAGCTACAGATAAAAAAAAAATTTGGTTGCTGAATTGTACTGTGCATCTACACAACCCATTAAACTTGAGGAAATTCATATGGAGTCCTACGAGAAGACTAAAATCTACAAAGAAAGGAAGAAAAAGCTTAATTGTAGCCAAATCTTCATAAAGGAATTTCGCCAGTACAAAAGTTATAGATGTTAAATAAAAGGTGGAAGTCAGCTCGAAAGAGACATAAGCCTCATTGGAAATGACCTTATTCGATTACAATGTGTAACAACCCGTCTTAAATTTTACATTTTAATTAGTTAAATTATGAAAATACCCCTAACGACGAAAACGTTAACTTCTGTTGACTCTTGTTCTATGACATATAGGAATTGTTCTTTTAATTTATTCACGTAGCACTCGTCGATACGAACACATAGACTCAAGCAAAATTGATTTTGGAGCTAAAATGAAGTTTCTACGAATTTTTAAACGTCAAGCGCATTTAGGTAATTTCACATTAAGAGATATTTCTCCATCTTGGACCACTCATAAGGTGACACGTGGCAGGTTTTTCCCCTTTTTTGGGGTGTTCTTCTCTGTCCCGTGACCTCTCTCCTTCTCTTTTAGAATCTCACTCTCTCTCCCTCATTCATCTCTTTCACTCTTTCTCTCCCTGTCTTGGCCAAGCTCTTTCATAAACCCATACACCAACAAACAAACAATAACACCAATCATCCACCCTTCTAGTCACTGTGGTAAGGCTTGAACCAAAAATTTGAGAGAAAAACCCATTGAAACTTCCGTACTCTCGCTGCACAGTGCAGTTACTGTGCAATGAATTCTCCGGCGAATTCTCACCATCTCCAGCAAAGGTAAGCCTCCAAATTGGTCCCTACCATTGTAGATTATGTCTAGGTTCATGTTTAGTAAGTTTTTGGCTGGTTTTGGTGGTGTAGGCACACGGAAAACACAAGAGAACTCACTGTGCAAATTCTGGAAAACTCGAAATCGTGGTCGGAATGAGCTCTTGAAGTTAAAGGAAAAATATGGAAAAATTCCAGAAAATCGAGGAAGGCGAATACGCTTGTACTCACGGCGTGTGAGGCTGTCATGGCCAGCGTGTGGAGTGCATGCACCTCCGTGCAAAGGCACTATGCTCTGTCATCGTCCACGGAGGCGCTGGCGAATTTTTAGGCGATGCATCTCAGCGCGTGGGGTGGCGCGTGGTGATTCGAGCAGCCATCCTTTGGTGGCACTTAGGGGAACCTGAGATCTCTCCCTACGTTTTTCGATGTGTCGAATTTGAATCCGTCGTCCATTTTTCCAAATTTGACCATTTTAGTAGAGTTTTAATAAATGACCCCTATTTGTGTTTAGGTGCATTTATTGAAAGTGATTCCATCCTCCTTAGTTCGATCGGCTCTCCGGTAGCGGAATATTTATGAGCGGAGCCTTTCTTAAATTGCATGTTTTTATAAAGATATTAGGCTTGTATGCATTTCATATTTCATGAATTAAGTCTGATTTTTAGAGAATTCATGATTCATTTGATTCACTTTTATGAGAATTCATGATTTATTTGATTCGCTTTCATGAAATATTGTTTATTTATCTATTTAAGGTTTATAAAATGGCATGTTTACAGAAATCACGTTTTGAAATTTTTTATGATTTCAGATGATGAGGTTTTGGTATTTTACACTTGGTATGAGAGTTGGGTTACTTTTTTCGGTGCTTATCTAGTGGGTAATCATACAGTACATAGACACAACCTGAGTATGTATATATCTATGGCCATAGGACATAGTTGAGAAGCAGTGAGATATTATTACATACTCCTAGCTTCACTGGCAAAACCACTATCGGACAGCTTCACTAGCCACGGCTAGTGTTGACGTGTTATGTTATATTTCTTCTCTGGTGTAACTAAGAGTCGTACAACTTTGCCTTTAGGTGATGAGACTTACCATATTTCTTCATCGGCGTAATCCAATGTCGTACAGCTTCACCTTTGGGTGATGCTTATGCCTTCAGGTGACTATGATACCCCTAGTTGAGTAAATTATTGATTTTATTTACAAGATTCTCTTTGGATTTGCCTTCGGGTGTTTCGATATCATTTTTAGAGATGATTTTATTGTTTACGAACATTTTTGGCATGTTAGAGTTTTTAGAAAAACCTATTATGTAGTACTTTATATGTTTTCAAAACAAGGTATTAGTATGTTCAGAAATAAAACGGTTTCTTACCATTACTACTAGCATAAACTATGGTCCACTTACCTTTTATTTTTGCGTCCCCTTCAGGATCTAGTGACGAGGAATATGACCCGAGCTTCGAGGCATTTCCTTACTAGTGAACTTGCGTTCTTCCGCTTGCATATGGCTTCTTTATGAATAAATTTAGCTTAATGTCATTCATTTCACTAGTACTCTCGTTTAATGGTATGCTCTAGACATATACGTGCATCTTTTCCTTCAGATTGTGACTATTGGACATCCTGTTTCGCTTAGGATTAACTCAGATTATTATTATTATTTCTTTAGCATTTTTGTGTTCATGATGATTGTTGTTTGTTGTGTGACTTTAGATTACATATTTCTTTAGGCTTTTTAGTCAAATGGTCCTTAAGATTTGCATAACACATAACTTTGGTCCCTAAGATTTAAAATCAATAGAAGTGGTCCATCAGATTGTCCACCATCCATTATTTGGATCCTTCTGTTAAAAAACTCCGTTAAGTTAAGGGTATAACACATAACTTTGGTCCCTAAGATTTGCATAACACATAATTTTGGTCCCTGAGATTTGCATAACACATAAATTTGGTCCCTGAGATTGTCCACTATCCATCATTTTGTTCATTCCGTTAAAAAGCTCAGGGACCACTTAACGGAGTTTTTTAATGGAATAACTAAAATAATGGATGGTGGACAATCTTAGGGACCATTTTTATTGAATTTAAATCTCAGGGACCAAAGTTATGTGTTATGAAAATCTCAGGGACCATTTTGGCTAAAAAGCCTATTTCTTTATGTTCTTGCATATCCACATATTTATGGCTTTCGTCACTCTCGAGTGTCGCCCAGCACGTGCCATCCAGGTGTTATTTGGATATCTAGGTTAAGGTGTGTCACAAAGATTCATTCAGACAGAAGGGCAAATATGAAAGATTCAACCACTAAATTTAAATGCACAGTTCATATGTCTCTCCTTACCTACTATCTCCCTAGAAAAGTTCTTCCAAAAAGTAGGAAACAAAATAACTTAAGAGAAACTAGGAAACATAATCCTAATCAAATATGGGAAATCTGCCCAGCCACATATCAGCCACGTTTATGAACCTTCAATGCTCCAAATATGCTCCAAAATGACTTAAATTAAAGCTTGAGATGTGCCGAACATAATTTTAGAACGTCTCATACCCAAAAGACATCATATTGAATGCCAAAAAGCCCAAATAAGCTCAAAACGTCAGTTTGACAACACTGCGCGTTGCTCCTTTATTTCATCGCCATAAATTATCAGCTTGGTAGAAAAATCTAAAAATTCGATATGAACAAGCTAAGAGACTTACAAACATCCTCCAATTGGAATCACTTCAAGATTCATCTATTTGGTCACATTTTGCTCAAGAGGAAATCGCATGTCCTACATTAGAAATATAAATTAAAAAGTATCAAAACTTCGTCAAAATAACCAATAAATTAATACTAAGAGTAGGGTAAAATATATATTATAATATCAACTCATCACCTACCTTTCAACTTAATCTTATGTCTATGAGTAGGCTTACAAAAGGATTACAATGTTCAATGACTTTTTTTCCTCATTGATGTATTTTGCAAGACTTGGCTACGAGGGCAACGATTTTGTTGGGCAAAGAACGTAGCGGACTTTATTATCTCATGGCGTTAGCATCTGACCAAGCACCTTCCATCCCCCTCCCAACCTGTCACCTAGCAGTTTCTTTTACTAATTTTGTGCACCGTGATTCAGGACACTTTTCTTCTACCTGTTTGCAATTTTTAGCCAAGTCATCATTAAAGATCATTGTTAAATTGTTCTACGCACTATAATGGTGTGTGATGCTTGTCATTTGGCTAAACAAACTTCCTTTTCCCATTAGTTCATCCCAACTTCAAGATCATTTTCCCTATTCATTGTGACATTTCAGGTCCTCACAAAATTCCTACCATTTCTAGGGCACACTCTTTTTTTACTATAGTGGATGATTATTCCCATTTCACTTGGGGTTTCCTCTTAAATTCTTTTCTTCTATCGTCCGCACCCATTTTAATACTACTATCCAAAACATCCGTGTGGACAATGGGTGAGAGTTCATTTCGTTGAAAGATTTTTTCCTAGCACAAGGGACCATTTACTAACATACTTGTGTCCATAATCTAACAAAATGGGGTAGTCGAGTGCAAACACTACCATATCCTTGAAGTCACTGGGGTTTTACAATTTCAAGCACATCTTCCTGTTCATTTATGGGAGGATTGTTTCTACACAACAGTTTACTTGATTAAATGTTTACCTACTTTTCTTCTTTAAAAAAAAAACCCCTTTCGAAAAATGGTATCGTAAATTGTAAATTCCCCTCTTATGGCCACTTGAAGGTCTTTGGGTGTCTTGTTGATAGCATTTTTACCATCTGCAAAAGTAGAGATAACAAACATTTAAAAATACTTGGAAAATTACAAGATAATCATACTATAGTTGACTTTAGCAAGGTCGTTATCGATAGGGATTAAATGAATAATTTATGTAAAAATTAAATCTTCATTAATTATTTGAAAAACAAAGTTTGAAAAAAGATTGATTTTGAATTTTGAAATAACTAAAATTAATTTTAATAAAAACACTTAAAGAAAATAATTAAAGAAACCAATTTGAAAGAAAGCAATTTTAGAAAACAATGATAAAAGAACACTAGTGTTCCGCTGTCACCTTAACAATCATATGTAGTTCACTAATTACTTATGAATTACACATGCAACTTTGAATGTTAGGTTTACCTAATGCATATTCTACTTGTAGCGTTCAACCTAGAATGTATATCAAACATGCAATCCATACATGCATACTCGTTTGGCAAGACATGTGAATCGGCCAGTTTATGGGCAAATTTCCAAAGCTCGTCCCAAGCTCGATTCACAACCATATTTAGTATGCAATATATGGATTTAAACTGGAAATGAGGAAAAGTAACAAAATGGGGTCAAATAGTGGCCGAAGATGACCTAAAAATGGCCTGGAATCCATGGTGAAACACCGGAAAACTAGGAAGGGTTCTCCCTTAAGTCGATCTACACCAAAACCCCATCATTTCTCACATGTAAGACTATAATCTTACACAGAACAACCATATAAGATGATTGGCATCAGTTTTCGAGGTTTACCTTAGTTAGAGTCATCAAGAACTCGCCGAGATTTCGTCGGGGAAGACAGTGAGAGCAATTCCACCCCAGCCTAATAGGTTGGCACCCAGCCCAAGCCAGGCCATACGCAGGCCCAGAATCGACAAACCCATGGGATGGCCCATCTGACGCCATGGCTAACTCCACAAGAACTCGCCATCATCTTTCTCACATGCACCACCCTCCGCGCAATCTCTACCTCAATCACTCTCCGTTGTGCCTCCGACATCTCCTGATCCCTGGAACCCCATCTGATCCTATTCCATAACTCCGTTGATAGACACCCGTACGCCTTCTTCATCTACACCCTATCTCAAATCCCTCATTCCTCTTCTAGATTTCCACTCCGCCAATCTTAGGGCTCCGGTTGCTTGGCACAGGGATCGAACTCGGCTGGTGAAATCGGTGTCAAAACGGTGCGTTGGGTGGATGAGTTGGGGAAGGGCACAGCTGAGTGTGATTGCGAGACGTGTGGGGAAGAGGGTGGTCGTTGTCAGTGTTCAAAGTTTGGTGGGTTTGACGGCGTCGTTTCGAAGTGTGGGTTGGGTTGTGGGTGTGGATTGGATTGTGGAAATCAGGTGAGTCAGAGAAGGATTAAGGTAAGGTTGAAGATTATAAGGGAGAGGGGGATTAATTTTTATTATTTATAATAAAAATTAATAATATTTTAATAAAATTTACTAGGTTATTTAGTTTTAGCAGTGGATACATTTGGTCTATTACTATTTATTGGGATTTATCACTATTTATTGAGTGGATTAAATAGACTGGGTGCTGACACATTTTTTTAGGTGTGGACTTGCTCTGAACAGTGCAGAAGCCACTGTGTGGTGTAAGGCCTCAAGCTTGGTTTCAAACTCGTGGTATTTATTTCTGGGTTTTGGGAAGGACAAATAAACGAGGAGAATTGGTGGTGGTTTCTGCAGGTTTCTATGTGTTTTCATAGAGAATAAAGAGTTAAAGAGTAAAGGGAAGGAGAGTTTGAGGGAAAGAGAGTGTGCAAAGTGAGGGAGAAATGAAAGAGAGAGTGTGATACCCCATCCTTAATTTTACGATTTTATTAATTTTAAAAATAGAATAACAAAAATGCCTCTAAATGTGAGATTGTTGATTTTCGTTGATCGTTATTTCGTGACATGTATGAGCTATTATTTTACTGTATTCTTGAAGTATTTGACAGTACGAATGCGTAAGCACAAACATAATCAAAATCGGAGTTACGATTGAGGTTTTACAGAACTAAGAATCTAAAAAATACTTTTGTAAAAATTACTATTTTATATTTTATATATTTTTCATGATTATTATATTATTATTTTAATGTTTTATGATAGGAAATTTTTAATTTTTACTAATTTTCTAGCCCGTGGGGCCTACACCGACTTCAAACTCACCTCTCCCTCTCTTCCACGTGGCTTCTTCTTCTAACCCTGAAGACTCTTTTTCTCTAACTCTCCATCATGTTTTCCAGCGAGTTCTCAAATTTCAAACGAGGGTAAGCTTTGAAAACAACCTAAAATTCTTGGATAATGTTTTAGTATATGTTTCTAGCTTTCCTAAGGGTTTTGGTACATAAACGTTGCGGGCAAGACTTCCTAGATTTTCCGGCGAAAAACATTGAGCTTTGCAGGCTATTTCTGGCTGATCTCGACCACTGCTAAACTTGATTTTTGGTATAAAATTCTTCTTCTCTCTCCGAGCTTCAAATCCATATATAAATTGTTGAGTTTGGTTGTGTTTCGAGCTCAATGTTCTAAAAATTGGCCTAGGCAGCTGCCTAGGCGTTGGGCGCTGAGCTTCCATGGCGATTTTGGGCAAACCGTTCAATAAAACGGAGAGGGTTTAGGCAGCCGACTAGGCGGTGCTAGGCGGCACTAGGCAGTGCTAGGCGGTACTAGTCTGTGCAAACTGCAAACCCAGAACATCTGGATGTCCCTCGTTGTGCTGCATCTCAGATTTGACCACTATTACAAACCCCAAACTTTTGTGCATGAAAACGGAGAAGTGTGGTGGAGAAATGAAGGGATTGAGGGAGTTGTTTTAATTTGGAGGGATAGAGGGAGATATTTTCGATGTTTGATTTGTGGGTTTTCAGGAAAGAAGAAAATGGAGGGATAGAAACGGATAAGATGAGGTAAAGGAGAAAGTCTGAAAAGATGAAGAAGAAGAAGATGGAGCGGAGAGATAGAACGGGCAGGGATAGTGGAAAAGTCTGACTCTGAAAAGATGCTTAGCCTCTGCCTTATCACAAAATAAAGGGCTAAACAATAATTACCCACTATCCCTAATAAATAAATTATTAAAATATTTAGATAATATTTTATTATTTGTTCTTTTTAAAACAACACCATATTACACTCTTGCATTATATTATTTTTCTTTTTATGATCAGAATAAGATCAGCTTATATTATACTCTTATGTTTAGATATGTATATTTTTTTTTTTTAAATAACGTATTCCTCAATATTTAATCATCTACTATAAAATAAATTTAACTAATTTATATGGTATATAATATATTTATTCCAAGATATACAAGAATTTTTTTTTTTTTTTTTTTTTGTAAATGTCAATATGCATTTATTTACAAAATATAGAAGAAATTTACCTAAATCCGCCTAGGCCCCCTAGGCGCCCACCTAGACCCCGCCTAGCCACCTAGGTGCTAGGCGCTAGCCCACCGCCTGACTAACACCTAGCATTTTTTAGAACCTTGTTCAAGCTTGATCCGAGCTCTTTGGATTTCTTGCCCAATTCTAGCTTTCTCCTTACTGGGTCCGGTGAGTGATGTGTGACCGCATTTCCAAATGGGTCAACCCACCCTGCTAAAAAGAACTGAAGCCTAAACCTAATCCGATTCGAACCCGGGATTCGAGCCAGCCCATTTTTGAAATGGATCCGGAATATTCTTGGATTATTCTTGGAATATTCTCTAGAATAGTCATTGTGTTAACTTTTTTGAAATTTTCTCAAAAACCCTCCTAGCCTAATTTTGATGCCCTAAGTTTGTTTTCAACATCCGTTTAGTGAAATTCCGAAGTTTTAACATAGTTGACCGACTCGACGTCTTGGTTTTTTGGTTGACCGTTGACTTTCCCATTGACTTTTTACAAAATTTGCTAGGGACCCGTTTTAGCATATTTCGACGCCCTGATTCCAATTCCGCACTCCGTTTTTCCAAATTTAATTGTTTTGGTTGAGTTTTGCTAATGGTTCCCAATACTATGCTTAGGTTGGATTACTATCAAAGACTCCGGCTTTCCTAGTTCGAACGGCTGCAACCTTGTGAGTGGGTCTTTTCTTTTATATACTATATATATTTGTTTAGTTTCCTTTTTTCTTTTTGGTCAATTTTGTTTAGTTTCCATACATACATCTAATAACGAATTTTCTATGTGATGCCGTAATTAAATTAACGTTTATAAGAAATGTCATAATGATGAGAATTAGGAAATCATTATAAATCTTACGGGATTCCTTAATTAGATTTACGACTATGAATAGTATTAGGTTGACTAGAATTATCAAATCATTGTGACATGACTTTATTTACGTTATCTGCTCATCATGTGCTACGCTGATGTTTGTACTCGTCTGGGCCTGAGCTAGGCTTCATGTGTATTTTCACATCGCTCCGTACGCTCACTTTGGATCCATTGTAGGTGCTAGTCCTGTCCTAGTTTGCTATAGACAATTAGGACTTGTATGTGATGCGTATAGTGCCAATCTTCACATGATTGTAGTACTAGATCGTAAACCATTATTACACCTAGTCTTGTTCATGTCAGAATATCTCTGCATGAACTCGTGTGTCAGCATATGTCGATAAGCACTCAATATGGTATGTTCATTTATGTGAGATATTGTGATTACTGGAAGTTATGTGTTTATTCATGAATTATTGTGAAGTATTGCTGGCTACAGTAAGTATTTTCATACAATACGTAGTATGTTATATTTGGAAATTATACTTGTTTTACGGCGAGGGGTTATTACATTTTGTCGAAAAGGTTTTACAAATTTTTATTTTTAGGCCCACTCATCCTTCTTTTTCACCCTTCCAGGTTTTAGTAGCAGAACTTTCGTGTCGATGAGTATTCTTGGAAAATGTGGGTGTAGGAGAATACCTTTGATGGTATAAATCTTATACTACTTTTACTGTACTTTATTTATACTCGGACATCACGTGTGGAAATGGGTTCATTCTCACTCACATGTGCACTCTTCTATTTAGTCACTTTTAGGTTTAAATTTATTCACATTTTCTACATCACTACACTTTATGGCTTCGTCACCTTCCTGATGTCAGCCAGCACAGCTCGATTCGGAGTCCAGGTAGACATTCCGGGTCAGGATGTGTCAAAGAGTGAGATTAAAAGTTGGATTTGTGGCTGCTTGAGGGTTGGATCCATTTTCCTCTGTGTGATTCTACGGTGGTGATGCTCTCATTGGTCGATTATGTGGTTATACCGCCTTACGTGCCAAGATCTGGCAGCTCTGCCGCTTTGGGCGTTCAAATTTGGTGGCTTTGCCGCCTTCTACGCTCAGAGATGGTGGCTCGCCAGCTTGTGTGACAGTTTGACTTGATTTGGTGACTCGTAGAAACTTTGGATCTAAGTAGTGCAGTGAAGCTATATATGGCGTTGGATAAAATGTCTTTATCCTTCACTTAGATGCCAATGATTCCCTTCTCAGAGGAGCATAGTTGTCGTATCGTGGTCGCGCTTCTACGATGGATGTATGTTGTCGTTATCATTGAGCAATGAGTTATGTGGTCTTGTCTTCCAACGATGATTTTATGTGGTCTCGTTCGTTAACAATCACCGTGTGGTTGCCGATAAAGATACGTTGCATCTATCGTTATTTTGCGACAGAATTATACTGGTGACATGTGTATGTGTTTGTGGTAGTCGTATAAAGGTTCTCATAATTAAATGTGTAAATTCACTCAAGTTCAATTTATTGGTCACTCAAGCTCATGTACTCAATTGACACAGCTATACTTGTTTGTATTTTGATGAATGAAATATCATCCTATCGTTTTTTGTAAAATAATAAAGAGAGAAGACTACATTGCATAAAATGAAATGTCCATAAAAGAGAACCAACTACAATTCGTCGTCGAATTTTGACTTGGAAGAAGACTTCCATTCTTATTTTTCATCAGCGTTTCAACTCTCTATCTCTTTCTCTCTCTCTCTCTCTCTCTCTCTCTCTCTCTCTCTCAACTTTTCTTTGGCTCTTCTCAATGATTTCTGTCTCCATTCCCTTGGTCCTTGTGCTCCTTTTATGGGCCTCGGTTGGAAGAGTTTATGTTGCAATGTGCAACATATATGCATCTTGGGTGAATCGGGTGATTATAATTTCAAACGGTCATTAGTTCAAACACCATATTTATTTAATCATAATTAATCACAAGGTTCACAACAGAATATAAATAAAACAACAAACTTGTCCGCCAATATGAGTTTGGCTAGAAACTATGAAGCGATTGTTGTATACAGTAATGGATTTATAGCGTCATTTCGTACACTTGAACTTGCTTTCACAAAGAAACTTCTGAATTCATATCTCTTGGGACAAATTAAAAGAGAGAAGATTTATGATCGTACTTTCGTTAAAAAAACAAATAAGTTGAAGCAATAGGTCTTTTCATCAAAGTAACCTACAAATTATTCGTCTATCAACTAACTTTTCCACCAATAAAAGTTTAAGGGCAGGTGGGACTTGACAAAAGCCACCATAGCTGAATACTCATTTAAAGCTTTCACATCCACGCCATTTCTAAGCACCTGCGGGAAGAACAGCCAATTGGCCGTCACAGCCAAAAACAACAACGTCAACGGCCCCGAAATCACCGGTTTTAACCGACACCTGTCGGCCGCTGCCTTCTTGACCTCCACCTCGATTGCCACACACACCCCATGCAGCACAAAGAACCATGTCACTTCCCATGTCGGAGGCACACGTGCCAGATAGTAATAAATCACCTCGTGCATTAGACCTGAGACTGCAAAAGTGGACATCATAGCGAAAAATCGGGCCAATTGAGGCCCGACTACACGCGTGAAAACATTGCGTATGGGGTAGTACGTAGTGGGTCGTAAAATCTTTGTGACCATGAGGTTCCATCTACGGCCCCAAAAGTCTTGAAGCGAAGTGGAAAGGTAAGGCTCGTTGGAATGCGGCTCGAGCTCAAATCCAAAAACGGCTCGAGCCGGGGTCGCACACAGGGGTAGCAAAATTTCTAGCCCCAGGTACAGGTGGCAGCAGCACAAGGCCAATGTAACGTACGGGTGTAAATGTTGCCTATAGTGATATGATCCGACGACCAAAGCCAAAAGCAAGGCTTTTACAGCAAACAGAATTGACTTTTTACCAATTGGGTAACTTGGGTTCTCAGGTTTTGTGGGGTTTGGGGGGATTTTGTGATCTGGGTTTTGATTCGGCGGTGATTTTTGAGTTGGGTTTTGCTTGATTTTGATTGGGAGGATAGCTAGGGAGATGAATTGGAAGAGGGTTAGTGGGGGTGGAGAAGATAGAGGGCCATGATCAAAGGAGAAGAGGAGGAGCTTGAAGGTGGCAAGCCAGACGAGGAAGAAGATGGTGGGCGCACCAAGGTGGAAGGAATGGAGGTTTAAGGGGAGGAGGATGAAGAGGTAGAGGATGGGGAGGAGAGAGATGAGCCTGAGGATGCCCTTTGGGATTCTGGATGATATGTAGAAACAATAACACAGAGATATGTTGGCTAGGAAACATACCTTGATGAAGTTGTAGATTTCATCCTCCATTTCTGGTTTGGTGTGGTCTCTTTCTCTCTCTAGATTTGTATCCTCTCTCTACAAAGATATAGGGAAAGGAGGAGTATTCAAGCTGTGTTTGAGTTTGGGGATTATGTTAAGCCTTGTTAGTTGGCCTTATTTGCACCACACATTGGCCCTGTGCTTGTATTTACTGCCCTTGCTAGTTTATTGGTTGTTGGAACTGAATTGTATGTATTTCGTGGGTTCATGTCTCTAAGTTGGTCAAGGGAGTACACTTCTTCCTAGCACTCGAGGTCCCAAGTTCTAATTCATCCTGTATGGACTGTGTAACCAAAAAGAAGATGAAAACCGAAACCTACAACAAAAATCGTAGTTCCAACCGAGAATATATCTACGAGAAAAATGGTAATTAGATTTAGAACTAGATTTTCACTCATTCAGTTGGTGTTTTATAGATGCATGGGAAGGAGCTTGAAGTTCCTCACTTACCAAAAACATGAACACAACACGGCGGGCATGAAGAAAAGGTCAGGGGAATGCAGAAAACACACCGAAAGGGTCGTTTATATCCATCAGCCGTCCTAGATCCTACAAAGGTACTCAAACCTACAAGGCTCGGTGCACAAAGTTCTAACTTATTTAGCCATCCTGGAGTGGAGCATATAGTTCAGACACGATTTATAGGGATATGATAACCGAACCGCTACTGGTTGAGAAAACAGAGTCGGTACTAGTTGAGATAACACTGGCACAATCTGCCAATCATCATCCATCAGCATTGGGGCGTCACGGCAATGATCGTGAATTTGAGAGTCAGAACAATGTGCTTGCTTCATTCACGTTCGCTTGTGACGCAGAAATGTGACCATTCTCTTGAGCTATTGCCCTGTGCTCGGCAGACCAATCAGGAAGGATGACTCCATAGATAGAGTGGAGGTGGCCTCATCCATTCATCCATTTGTTTCCCATTCGCATCAGCAGATCCAGAGAGATGGGAGAACTAAAACGAGACGGTAAACCATTAAATTTGAATTCTAAATTTTGATTCAGATTGAATCTTCCTGGGTAATAAATGCAACTTGTTAAGATCCTCATGAATAATATATTATTAATATTTTAAAACTTCTAAACGAGTATACGGGGAATGAATCTTTACATATGAGAAGCCAAGTATTATGAGTTGATTAATAACATTGTTTTATTATTTATGGGTACATCTACAAGGACGTTTGATCACACACGTTCATATTAACTATTAGTATTATTGTATTGAAGATACGGGGCGGTGTTGCGATGGAGCTTTATCCCCGAGTATTTTGACTATTACGTATGAGGAGCCAAGTATTATCTATTTATTAATAACAATGTTTTATTGTATTGGGGGTCTATCACTATGAATGTTGTTAGCTTTATATCATTTGTTTCGAGAAATTGTTGAGATCCTTAGGTTTAGCTTTCAAGTATACAATTGTCGTCTTTAGGTTTACCATGAATGTTGGAAAATGAAATACTTAAAACAAGTAATAACAAAGACATTCGACCCCAAAAAATAAAAAATAAAAAAAGAAAAGAAATTGTTATATAGAAACATGTTTTTATCGCAAATGATCTCTGAAATTGACCTAACTAAAAAATTTCTCACTTGGTGAGATAGAAATGGAATATCCAAGATAAACCAACAACCAAAGATTTAACCCAACGACGAGTCTATTTTATATTATAGCGCTATTTGCCATTTCAAATTTATTTTTCAATTCTTCTTCCCATCAGTGAATCAGTAACAAACAACCGTGACCAATGAGTGTACCAAACAAAAGGATTTAAGTAATTTGGGAAGGAAAAAAAAAAAAATCAGGCATCTTGATCTGGGCAACAAGACGAAAACTAGATACAAACTCTCCTGCCTACGTGGCTATCTCGATTGTAACCAGAGATATATAACCCATATGAGCGTCTCATGGGAATATATCTTGGGTAACAAGGCAAACTCACTCATTTAGCCAAAGTAAGAAATAAAATATCATAAGTTTCCGTATAAAGTGGCACGAAGTACAATGTTGCCAAAACACATGTATTTAATACACCAGCATTTACTACTCTTATGTACAAAAAAGGAGAACCTACTTATCACGTTGTACCTGTTTTACTCATGCAGCCAACCTGCTGAATTTTCGTTCGAATAGCTTTGGTGAGGACAGGGAGCAAAACCCATGGAGCCACCATGTTGACCGGGCCGGGGTGCCCTGGGATCATAAGTGCCGTCGCTACTGGACATGTGCGGTTGATATCCTAAAGCAGGTTCAGATCCTAAGCGGCCCATCCTCGTGTGGTTCAATTCATCCAACCGAGGTGCATACCGCTGCATGACTGATGTGTTCATTCTGTACGATAACTCAGCTGCTGGACCAGGATGACTATGGCTGTCAGTAGATGAATACGATCCAATCTGTCCACTCACAGAATCCTGACGCACCAAATAATTACTTCTTGAAGAATCAAAATCTTGCTGACCATAAAGATGAATCTGAGAACATACGTCAGACTCCCTCCTAAATGCATCTTCTGCCTCATTCAAATATGGCCTACAACCAAGGCTATCCAATCTCTCTCTCGTGTGCCCCACAAACGGTTCCTCCGAGTTTGTAGCCCTATAACCAGAATTGGGACCGGTAGACCAGCCATGAGTCAGACTCGAGCAAGGCTCATCACTGCTCATGGAGAATCTCCTTCTACCTGTGTCATCAGCAATGTTGAACTCTGTCCCACCATAAGTAGTTCGGAACTGCATGCTTGAACCAGAGTTGCCAGGCTCAGAATGCTGATCTCCTTTTTCAGCAGGCAGAATGCGTGGCAGAATCTCCTTGCACATCTCATCAATGATGTTGTTCCCATCCCCAGGACTCTCGGGTTTTATGCCATCATCAATCAGCATAGGCGCTTCACCATATTTATCATTATTACCTATTGACCGACCGTTATTTAAAGAGTCAGAATGATCTTTCGTATACCCTTGTGATGCAGTGATATGACCATGCGCTTTGGCTATAGCCTTGATGTCAGCAGACCAATCAGGACGACTCCAGATATAGAGTGGTGGCGGCATTACATTCCATTGATCCAATTGTTTGTCATTTGCATCAACAGATCCGGGGAGATAAAAAGACTGAATGGAGACAAGTCACCAGTAAATTCACATTCCAAAATTTCAAAACAGATATTAAGATTCAGCCATTTGGATAAACACATACCTTTCCTGACAGAAACTGGGTATCCTCCCAGATCAAATCATAAGGCGAATTCTTTTCATTTAACCTGATGAAAGACACAAATGTAAGAAACTATATGCAAACTGAAGTCCAACTCAAAGGCATGGCCACAATTATGTATGCCTTTGTGTTTAAGACAGAGAGAGATGAACAAAGGCAAGCAGCTACCTTTGAGTGTCTGGTGGAACAATAAGAATAAGGAGCTTTGGATTGAACTCAAGAGCCTTGTCGATGAACTTGTTTGCCAAAGCTGCTTTAACTCCGAAAGGAGGGTTTAACCCCATGATCTGCTCAAGTAGAAAAGTTGCGGAGACTGAAACAATTAACACAAAGGTTCTAAAATTCAAATGTCTTGATGAAATAAAAACAACCACCAGTTTCCTACCAATTGTGACCCTTTCGGTAATTCTTTTGGTTTTACTTTCATCCAATCTCTCTTCTCAAAACAGAAATCATTCTGCCAAATGAAAATACACACAAAATAATCAGTTTCCCAGTTTTGATGTTTTAAGCCAGTAAACTGCACACTTAACAGCCTTATACCCAACATAGGGAATGAGAAAGAAATGAAAACAATCTTAAGAACAAAATTGGCCGCAATACGTTTTTTACTTAAAAATGAGGATGAAAAGAATCAAGAGCGAGCAATATAACTCCCAGCGCTGGTTGTCTAAATTGCATTCTATTGTAAGTATAAACCTCATAAAAGCCAAATCTGAAATACAATAGGTCTTCACAGTGGAAGCACAATGTTACTTGCATACCGTTGAGAGTATTAATCCCATGTCGAGGAAAGAAAGGACATTGCATGCACTTATAAGTAATTACTCCCCACATTGCCAATTGGTTTTATGGTGGAACCACAACTTTCTTCATGGTATCAGAGCCAGTTGTCCCATGTGTGAAGCCCAACGGCCACATGTGCTCCACGTCACCGATTTGTATTGTCCACGTGTTACGCTTGAAAAGCCACCAAACATGAGGGGCACGTTGAGAATATTAATCCCATGTCGTGGAAAGAAGGGACCTTGCATGTGCTTATAACTAATTAGGCAACTCCCCATATTGCCAAATGTTATTATGGTGTAACCCCAACGCATATATCCTATAGGCTATTATCATCCAACTACATGTTTGACCACATCCTCATCCTTATTACGTTTTCCATCAGAAGGGAAGTGCAAAAATATAATGAATAGCTACTCCAAACTCTTCAAACTTTATCATTTAATGGCTGAAAATGCATCTGATAAAGAAAAACTAGTTCATCCATCATTGTTTTTCTGGGTACATTTGTTTGTTGTTCATTATATGGAGCGTGTCCCATAATCCCACTTACTCTGAAATCCCATCAACTGAAATTTCAGGGATAGACTATAAAGCTACATCAGGTGTGTATATTTCTACTAAGTGGTTCAGACCCATCATAAACAGTTAGTGAATGACTTCTAACGCTGCAAAAATCGTTCTAGTTTCTACCTTACATCATATCCCACGTTCATCTGTGGTGAACAATGCAACCATGTTTGCATATGTCATAGATAATATGAATGATGCGGATTGACCAACATTAAAGACTTATATGAATGACTAGTACCTTCGGTTGAATAAAGTCATAGTTTTTATAAAAGCAATTCTTCCCCGTCTCTTCAAGTTTCTTCTTCATTACAATGCTGAAATCATTGGCACCACAACAGAAGTCCACTATCTGTACATTGGAACAAAAAGTAATCAGGTACTACCCAATCAACATTATTTTGATGTCAAGGTACTCAACATTGAAAAAAAAAAAAATATATATATATATATATATATATATATGTAATAAGTCTTTTTAGCCAAAAGGATGAGATTGGCATACATAACTCCTCACTTTGGTCCCTGACAATGAAAATCAATATAAGTGGTCCTTGGTTTGTCCACCATAAATCATTTTGGTCATTCCATGAAAAATCTGTCAATATCCTTGTTAAATTGTCACGTGAAAGACCACATGACCACCTTTTTAAGGGTATTTTTGTCAAACCAACCCCTTAACAAGGACATGGACAGATTTTTCATGGAATGACCAAAATGATTCACAGTGGACAAACTCAGGGACCACTTTATCGATTTTCATTGTCAGGGACTAAAGTGAGGAGTTATGCCAATCTCAGGGACCATTTTAGCAAAAAAGCCAATGTAATAATAAAGAAACCCGGACTAATCCTACATAACAACCTAAGCTCATGATCCAACATTAATTTAACGTTCAGTAAGGAATCACAACCACAACAGTTCTCTTTCTTATCATATAATATGCACTTTGAGAACAAGAAGCCAGTCCTCCAACAATTAACTGGCTTATGACTTCTGCGGTGAATATACTTATTGCAAGTTCAATTGTGTAAAGTCAAACAGAAGTTCATAAAGATCATCATGATAACTTTTTGGGTACTAGATGCTTCTGTTGCAGTTTTGCAGAAAAAGAACAACTATGATTCAACATTTGTTTTATGAGAAAACAATTTTATTGATCCCATACAAATACTTTAGACCGGGTAGTCCACTAAATAAAATGCAACTAAAAGCAGCCTAATTAGAAACTTTTAACTAACAGAAACGCAAAAAAGCTGAACAGAAACATCTCCGAGCACAGCCAAGGAATAGTCCTCAGAAGTACACTAGATCATCCCATTCGAAAAACTTTTCTCTAATAAGTGCAGCACTGTTCTTTAGTTTCATTGTTATACAGTTCCTTATTGACATTACAGCTGTACTCTAATTGAACCCTGTTAGGGTTTGTCATCAGGTAAACCATTCATATGCTGAAGTTTTTCTCCTTTTGATGCTTCTGCTATTGTAAAGATGTCAGGTCCTAGAAGTAGTTTCTGAAAGAACTCTATGTTGATACGAATAATGCTGCAAGCTTGCCACAGTTTGTGCCATCGTCATAATCCATGTCGTCACAAACTCAGATGCCGAACATAGTATAAGATTTATACTTCAGTTGGCCTTTAGGTGAACAGTAAAATAAAGCGTTCAGGTAAAAGTCCAATTGTGCAAGCAAAAAATTACGCATATAGTAAGACAAACAAGAGTCATCAACTACATAACTAAAAGAAATATCCAAAAGACATACACCTATGTACTAAAATTATCTCACACATAAAAGCATATAGATCCATACCGTATCTCCATCTTTTGCATACCAATGGAGCCTATCAGCAATCTGCATATTAAACTCAAGCTTCTAAAATTCTTCAAGGTTTCATTAACTTCATAATACATGCTCAACGGCTCAAGTTGCAGACCAGATAAATAAGAGGTAAACCTACGTGAGAGTAAATCAAAATTGAGTAACCATATAGTATATACCAAAAGAGTTTAATTCACAAAACGATATGTGAAAGCACGAGTAAACCAAAAGTCCGCAGCACTGTGTGAATTTTTGGGTGATTTGGTGGCAAGTCACACTAGAATGTCGAAGCTTAGATATTTTTTGCTCTTTTGTCTAACTGGTGAACCTATTGTCCGATACTGGAGATTATTTTGCAACTTCTTGACTTTGTCTACTGATAAAGTTTTCCTTCTCAACAGAAAACAAATTAAAGAAATCCAAAAGTCATGTGGGATCTCATTATCTTTAAAACTGGAGGAAGCATAACACAACCATGAATTTTTCAATGTCAAGATGAGCTTAAGCATAAGCAACCACACCAAACATGCGTGGGTTGGACATCTTCATAAACGCAAGTTTCCTCTAAATAAATAAATCATTAAAACCCAAACTGAGAAGAAAGTATAAGCAGTAATAAGTTAGCAAAAGAGTGCATCATAACTTTGAAATGTTAAAAACTTGAACACAAACAAATTACCTCTTTTAATTTGTCCACCTTTGTAAAATGACGACCAAAGGACGTGTAGCGCATTCCATGCATGAAAGGTGCAAGATATACTCTCAGCTTGTTCTGCATGAAAATGAATCAATAAATTAATGGGAAACTAGAAAACACAACAGTTATCTGGTGAACACTTAATACACATATTACGTACAAATAAAATCACATAACAAACTCAACCACAAAAAGAAAGAGAAAACAGGAAACAAAGAAAAATTAAGATCAGAAAGAGAGAGAGATAGATGCTACAAATATAGCTCTTAATATAGAGTTCAGGCACAGGGATGCACAAAACGCACGCCATTACACATTTGAAAATGTAACATGTCACAAACTTAGCTACAATAATTTATAGAATTCATATGTGAATGAGCCTCTAAGCATGTACCAAATGACTTCCTTATCAAAGTGTGGACTAACTTTGCCTACCCTAGAACAATGTGGATGAAGAATAACAGCATATGCCAACCTAGTAAGGTTGTCAGTCAGCTTAATACAGCTCATGTTTTTAAATGTTATTGGCTCATTTGAGCTTGGCTTGTAAAGAAACAAGCCACTCAAAAAAATTACTACAGCTTGATATTAAATTAAAAATACAAGTCAAACTAGTCAAGATAGTGTCTAACTCGGATTTCATCACAAGACACCTCTCTTTGAATTGAGGTTGCCTCATTTATTTGTGCTTCAGGTGCGAGGTCCATATCCTTCGCTCATTATGTCAAGTCATGCTTTAAGCTCATTTTGCTCTAAATTCAGCTTAAACAAATGCAAGCCAACCTCATGCCTAAAACCAACATTCAAAGCCCAACTTAGAGCCTAGTTAGGCAAGCTTGTTAAAACTCAGCAAATTACGTTTTAGCACTATGATACTAGGTTTAACTTGGCTATTTTACAACCCCACACCCGAACCACAAACCAAGCATAACCTGAACTAAAAGAATAGACAATTAGCTGAGATGTGCAAGTCTAGTACACATGGCACACAGACAGCAAACATCAACGCAGGAAACCTAAAGCTTAAAACAATATCAAGATGAATAATCTTTGCCTAATCATAAGTTGTAGGATAGCGAGACTGGACTAGAAAACCACCTTCCACTTGTAAATCTGGTGAACAACCTCAGGAGGACAAACAGCCTCTGAATCTTCAGCACGGCATCCTTCCTCTAGTTTCCGTAATGCCATTCGAACAGCCTAAAATACACGTGGATATCATTATCAAACACATGATAAGAGAAATCATCAAAAGTACTTTTTTGCAGTGCAAAATAGCAGTTGAAATTTCCCAGTGATGTACCTCAATTGAGCCTTCTACCTTTCCCATTGTAATGTTCCTTTCCACAACATTTTTGGACGAGGATTGATGAGTTGATGGAACTGTGTGCTTTCTTATAACATCTTCCAGAGTTATTGAAGACGCAGCATCTTTCATTAAAGACAATAACCTGAATTGCAAGAAATAAATCAAAGAACTACTCAAACCTTAAATAAATTGTCTTGTCCGCAACTGTGGTAAGTCCTTGTAAAGTATCCAATCATATATGTGTGTGTGCGCACACACGTGTTGAGAGAGAGAGAGAGAGAGAGAGAGAGAGAGAGAGAGAGAGAGTAATACACACACTCTCTCGAATATACTAGTCCCTAGGAACATGCTCACGCATAATCCAATTTTAGTTTTTTGTTATTTTTTAAAAACTCGACGCAAAACTAATGAAAAGGAGATGATGGGTATGTGGGTTGGGGGGGTAACCACTAGCCCAACCTACGTGGCGTTTGATCATAGAATTTTAATTTACTTTGATTTTTCAAATTCTTGTTAGTTATTTACACTTTACCCCCAGTATATTTAATTGTCTTAGAAATTAAGTTAAATGGTGTACTTTTAGTATTTTGAATTTTCACCTTCAAGGCATTCTCCCTTATATATTAAATGAAAGAGGTAATGCTATTAACAAATGCTTTAAAGAGTTATAAAGCATAAACAGAACAGAATTGGTAAATAATTTCAACTTAAGTTACCTCCTCTCTGTAGCTGCATCTAAAGATGGTGGTGCGCTGGTCAACTTTTTTGAGGCAGGATTAAATATTGCCAAATCACGCTCCCCATCAGGTTTGCCCTGCTTCCCCGACTTCACTTGCAAAGACTCCTTCCTATAGGCATATAGCTGATCACCCAATGAGGTATTTTGTTCCGCAGCCACAGAAATCTTAGCTTTCTTTTTCAAAGCACAATTCACTTTCAGCTTTCTTGATGTATCTAACGCAGCAGGTAGTTTTTTACTAATTCTGCTACCACCCACTTTTGCGGTAGAAGATAACTTCAGCTTCTCTTTAGATATCATAGGAGCAGTTTGGCCCCTATAGAATTCTTTGGCGGAAAGCTTTCTCTTATTCGTCACAGATATCTCTCTATCTTGAAGGGATTCTGATGTCCGTTTTTTCTTTTTCTCTACAAAATCGGTCTTCTTTCGAATAAAAGTAGTCCTCTTTTCTTTAACTCCAGGGAATTTTATGTGGTCCCTTATTGGCGTTTCAATGTCTTTAATCATCTCATGCTTTCTAATCCAAAGAAAAAGAAAAAAAGCATTCAGAAAAATTAAATCAAACAAAATAATGAACAAAATCAGCTCACAAAAATAATACTTACGTGCAATATATTAGTACATGGTTAGGTAATAGACCTTCCCAAGCTCTTGCTGTTGCACCTTCATCCTCTGTGTCTTCCTCCCCTTCGTCTTCCTCTGTTCTTTGAAATACAATCTCCCTGATACAAGCAATTTAAGCATACACGGAAAAAAAAAAAAAAAAAAAAAAAAAAAAGACCAAAGCATGGTCTCCTGAGAGCATATAAAAATAAAAACAAAAAAGAACAATTAAGACGATTACTCTGGCAAGCATTTCCTGTGGTAGGATTTAGGACAACGCCGACACACAGCAAACTGCAACTGAGGATCCATCTTGTTCTCTCCTTGTTCACAAATGCAGCATTTATGAATCGGACACGTAAAAGATTCCCCCAGAGCAATTTTTTTCTCAAGTTCTTCAGCAGAGACTCCATTGTCTTTATAAATGAGTTTTGCAATGCAATGTGGATGGTAAAATTGACCACAGGTTGCAGAAACACAGGGGAAGACCTAACAGAATTGATAAAAATGTTTTTTAAGTGTAAACCAAACATAAGAATAATACTTTGATGACGACAATACAAAAAGGCAGAAAAGAGCATAAGACTAATGAAAACAATAGGAAAAGGTAGAAAAGACAGCATAATACTTTGATTATGATATATATATATATATATATGTATATGTATATATGTATGTATGTGTGTATATGAGTCCCTTCTATTGAGGGATCACTAGAATAATTTTATCAGAGGGACACCTTGTCTCTGGATTGTAGTATAATGATTTGAACAGTCTATTTTCATTCATAGATCATACTTGACAAAAAAAAAAAAAAAAAAAAAAAAAAAGAACAGACAGTCACCAAAAAAAGACAGTCACCGTTCCAAGAAAACACTAAAATGACAACATTTAATTGAATGGTTAAACCATTCCAATTTGGGTGTTTCATTGCAACGATGTTCTTTGAGGGAAGGACCTAAAAGTTAGACCGTTTGGATCATTGAAATATAATGTGGAGCGGGCACTATCTTGTATCCCTCCATTAAGCTTATTTAAGAGATCCCTCAATTAAGCTTATCTAACACTATCTTGTATCCCTCAATTAAGCTTAATTAAGAGATCCCTCAATTAAGCTTATCTAACATATGACTAATCCTCCCAGTAAAATTAACAACGAAACGTTAAAAATTCCAGACCCTTTACTAAAGAAATTAAATTGCTTTAAAAACCCCAATTTAACCATTGGCTTCTTGGATGTGCAGGTGGTATTTGAAATGATTGGTTTGTGTTGGTTTTGCACCCGGTTGCCTTTGCATTGTTGGAAAGTGACTCACTGGGTTTGGTCAAAGTAATAGACCTCAAACAATAAAAAGGTGTGTTGTGAATCTGTGATGAGTGATGACCATTCTTAGGGGTACCATGGATGCAGAGAAACGCCAAGTTTTTCCAAGAAACTGTATTTGGGATAAAACTACAAGTTTTAACTTCTCTTTAGGTTTCCACTTCAAAGAGTTTTAAGGGGTACCACTCTGTTTATGATAATAGTGTCTCTATATGTTCACAAAAGGCTGATCTTACATTATTATCCTGCATTGCCGAAGGTTATTCATATTTTCATTCTTCCAGATGATTTAAGGATAATTATCATTCTATGTGTTACACCTTTCCTATTACCAAAATACATTTCTCATTGAAAGAACAAAAAAATTAACCAGGAAAATAAATGGGTAAAGAACTCTGACTAAAATGACCATGCTCAAATTCATATCAGCACCAGGGAGATTCCATTAATTAACGATGGGCCAGATGGAAAATGTTGAGTAGAATGAAAATCAAGAAGGAAGAAAGTATATTATAAAAATAAAAATAAAAACAAAAAAGGAATTCCAACAAGAAATGACGCTCAAAAGATGAAGAACTACAAACACACTGAAGAAAAGATAACCTAAGATTGCATCATAAAAAAGCACAACAAAGGAGACAAAAAGAAGTATAGTCAAAGAAAGAGATAAACAGAGCGTAGCAGAAGACTTTGAGTGAGTATACCTAACACTACTGATCCCAAGAAGCTAAATTCAGAACAATACATCATGTTGCCACACAAACAAAATTAGAACACTACATCAGTATTGCTTCATTACGAACAATGTAGAAAAACTGAAAAATTCATGGTTCTGAAATTACATTCTTAAACTAATCAAGCTAGCATGTAAACACCAGCTATGTAGAAAATAATTCATACCTCAGCCCCTGAAGATTTATCAGAGGAGCCTAACTTCCCACAAGCATAGCATTGATGCTGTTTATAATGACAGTTCTTGCAGAAGAATTTTTGAATCGCCTGCCAAGTTCAGAGCATAAAATAAAATAATCATAATATCAATAACAAAAAGAAACCACCAAACGGAAAGAGAAAAAGATTCACATCAAAAGTGAATACGAAGAGCATACTTCTACTTCATCCTGGGTAAAGCCAAGGGTCTCACACATAGAATGCTCACCATCCTCGACAGTTGCGTGAAATGACCTTAGGCATCTCCCTTCACAACTGCAGGGCAAAAAATATATATATGTTGATGCACTAACTTCTAGGAAATCAAGTTATTTAAAAAATGTTGATATCATAAAGCTTTCATAAGTATGAGCAACAGAGCATACTGCAATAGAGTGCCACCATCATCACAAAAAGCACAAACAGAATCAAACAGGTTATCATCGTCGTTGGACTCGTCTTCAGCGTCAATCATATCTTCTTCCGTATCATCAACTATAAATCCAGGTTTTGTTGTAGCTTGAATGTCCTGAAAATCCAATGAGTTCACTGGCTCAAACACAATAACATGAAACTAAAAGAAAAATTAATGAGCTAAAAATTAGAGAGCTAAAGGATAAAATTGCGCTAATGAAAGAGAAAACAAGTAAGTAGTAGAAGATGACCTGATCATATAGTTTCCTCTTGTTGGTTTTCTCTTCAAGAAAATTGAGTAAAAACTGTTCAAAACACAGTATGCAATTTTATTTAACCGTGCATACACATAAGGACAGTTTGTAGTTTGTGCAGAATGATAAGAACAGAAAATAATACAGAGCGAAAACAAAATGAAGCTAAAATCAAGTGAAAGAAGAGCAAGCAAAGAGAAAGCTTGAATCATAATATAATTCACACAACAGAAAGTTTGATTCACCATCTAAGGTTCATATAGTCAATTAATGAATAAGCAGGTAGTACTTAGAGCTCAACATTTTCACATAAAGGTTCCCTAATCTGTAAGTTTTAATTTTACATTTAAAACAAGAACGGGGAAAGATGAAACAGTACTTGTTTGCCTGCTCCAAAATCCAGAATGAAAACCTATATTGAAGAATACCAACCATAAACACCATAATACCCCAACTGAATAAACGATTATGCAGTGTGCCACTTCTACCTATTACTGCAATACAAGTTATATGTTCAAACAACTTGATGTGATTTGACATTGATGAGAAGTATCTCACAGATTATCTCAGGAAAAAAACCCTTGTTCGTTCATTCAGAACAGAAAAACTTGCAGCAGAGCATTTAAGTACAAACATCAGGTAAAGGACGATTTTGGTGAATTTTCTCAAGATGGCTCCAAGAACTTTGAAGAGCAAGATCCACATACTGTGCATCTAACCGATGGCGTCTACTTAAACTACGTATGTTGAATTTTCCCAGATATGCTTCCAGTATTATGACTTCGACTAAACGTTCATTTGCACTACACAGAAGGCAAAAGAGTAGAAAAGAGTACTCTGAAATATCTGGAAACTATTTACTGATATGAATTGTTAGAAAAATGACTAATCACGTGGTACAGTTACAATGATAAGAAAAGAAGATAGACAAAACCTTGCACTTTGCTAACGCATCATCCCTTTTAACAGCTTCACTAAGTAGAGGAATGTGATCCACCAGGTCATTCTGAGAAGGCCTGACCTTGTAAAAGCTGCAATGAGGGAATCCGTCAAACTTCAGTGTAAGAAAACGATCGAAAGTGAAGAGATGTTTAAAAGATCCAAAGATACCTGAAAACTTTAGATAAGTGATCCCACAAAGATTTTGCAGATGTCTCAGGATTTCTGCTCACATAGTGAAGGAACTGCAGTGTTATCAAGATTGACCTTATTACTTCCTCGAAGCTCTTCCTCGGCTTCTGAAGCTTGAGCCAGTTATTTTCCTTAGAGAGCACCGATATCTCAGGATCGACATTGGAAAGATCAAACCGCCATGCGATAACATGCTTATACAGTTTCTGAAGCCCATTATCGTTAGTGCCACGCACAAATATTTGCATTTTCTTGCCGTCTTGCCTCTCACACTCACTCCACTGAATTGGCAAAACGTGAAATGAGATGGGTTCATCGTTGTCATCTACAAAATGGTAATTTGAAACGGATTGTGGCACCGCCTCTGCCTCATCGCCCGACGATTCCATGCCCTAATTCAACTCACACTATAAATTCACACCTACACATATAATCAAACAATGAACTTTTTAACAATGCAGAGCAGTACAGCGCCTAATCAGAGTGCAAAAATCAACAGAAAATAGAATTATCGGGAATTCTTGGAACCAAAGTCGAAATTGGACTAACGAATTTGATAATTTTTGCTTTTAATTTGAACCCTGAAAGGAAAATTAAAAATATAAATTGGGAATTGAACAATTGGATTGAAGAAAAAACCTAGCTTCGTCCTCAAACGCTCTCAATCACTTTCCCCAATTTGCTTCGAAATTTGAATTTCCCAGCATATATGTGGCGGTAAGGAAAATTAGGAAAGGAAAATCACGAAGGAATCAGTTTACCCCCTTACTCCGTACTGGCCCAGCGCATCGAAGTATCGTTTATTGTAAATAATGGTTTGAGACCGTGAGAGTCTGAACGCACGTGGTGTTTTACGCGCATGATTATGCCACGTAGTCGAAAGATCCTGCATTTCCTTTTTAATTTAATAAAGATTTTTCAATATCATGAACACAGCTCAGGATATTTTAACTCACAACCGATTTCATGCAAGTCTTCCCAAAATGAAGGTTAGAACCAAAAAATTCATATTCAAAATCCTCTAACAAGTTTTACATGAACTTTTTGGCAGCTACAATTGCTTCTTCGTACATGATACAACAACATTGGCTCATGTCCAGTGTTGATCGATGTTGAACTTGAGATGATCATGTCCAGTAACAAATCAAAATTAACAAGTAGTTTTACAAGTACATTAAATTTTTAGAATGTTGAACCACAGTGGCTCAAAAAGCTATACTCCCCATTTCACTCAAATTTGAATCCTCTTCCCCGCACTTTATGTCAGTTTAGTGTACAATGTTGATTTTATAAAAAGAAAATGAGGAAAAACTCATTGCTCTATTATCGGCTGTAACCAGCACTGGCTAGATTCTCTCCCACACATTATTAGTACTTTTTGTATTTGATTTTGTATTTCATTTAGTGAAGAGCTTGAAGAAAAAATGGAATGATTTTCACTTTGGATTTTCTAGGAGGGAAGAAGACGGTGAATCATTGATATCTCACACACTGCGTGAGCAAAATATTGCCCTTGCAAGGAGGGGAGCCTTCTCTCTCTTACGTCATAATCAAATTTAGCCATTCAAATAAAACACCATATAAGATGCTTACAATGGTCATGAGCTATGACTCACTACAGCTAAGTCTAAGTGATGTACATAGACTATGATCCAATGGTTCACATTAGACTAGCAATTACACTTAACTAAACAAAAACAAACTTATTCAATTCTAATTGATCTGCAAAGGGGAGCCACTCAATAGTCAATACTACGGTCTAGTGGTATTCCTCTTCAGTTGAAATTAAGAGGTTTTAGATTCGAATCTTGTGGATGGGCCAAACTTTCCCTCTCCTTAGTGTAAAACTATCAATGTACTCAAAAAAATTGATCTGCAAAGAGGTTTAAACATCAACACACATGTACTTCCATACTCAAATAAACGCATACAAGGATGTGTGCATTATAAATTTGTGTGTGTGTGTGTAGGATCCTTAGGAAAAGGATCCGTCCATAACCACCCATCCTATCTCTCTCCAAAAAAAATTTCACCCTCCCCGTCTCCCACCTGCCATTGAATTCTGCGCCATTTGTCTAGCCCTATGTTGACGTTGCATTGCTCTCCACTTTCCGCTTCCCTATCCCAGCATTGACCCTATACTACCTCAATCTGAGTCATCTCTGCATCCACCTTTGTAGCATTGATTTTACACCCCTTCTCCTTTGTGGATCTCATTTCCCCAGTTCACGTTTGTGGTTTGAGATGTTACCTTGAGTGTTAATTTAGATGAACTTAAATTTCGAGACATATGTAATGATAGACATAAATCTAAAAATTTAAACTTATCAAACGATAATAAATATGATGATACACATTAACACTACTTGAGAGTGGTGAGCAAAAATGCATCCCAAAATAAAAGGGCAGTGTTATTCCCAGATAATTGTTAACTTTTATCCATTGATCTTCTTTAATAAGGTCGAAAATACAGAACCATTTAGTTTCCTCAAAACAGAAACTTTAATAAATTAATATTTAACAATTTTGAAGACCGAGATGAAAACCAAGCTCACATGGACAACAATGTGAAGTACAATCGAGTTTTGCCGCTGAATCCCGTAAATACAGTACAAATACCAACTCAACGACCTAATAGAAAGAAAAATAAATGTTGCTGCAAACTTGAAAGTCAAATTGTATAACATGTAACTGATATACAAGTAGCAAAATTTCTGGGATTTAACTATAAAATAGGTTAACATTAATCTCGTTAATAGATAGATTGGACGCCTAAACTAACCTAAGTGTATAAAAGGCACTCAAAAATATTACAAATTACAAGCTTAAAAATATTTAAATCAATGGACCTCAATCGATAAGCAAAAATTTCAAAACTAAACCTAATAAATGAGTGTAAATGGACTTATATCTTATTAGGGTCGTTACTGAGGATGGGTGGGAGGGTCGACTGTTAAAATGATTCGAAACTAAATCTTTGTTGCCATACCTCATTGTTTTAGAATTAAATTCTGAATCATTTAAAATTAATATTTATTTAGCCCAATACTTTCGACACAACTCTTATTTAGCATGTTTTAAGCCAAGAAAGTTTGCATACGGAGAAACAAGATTTGCAATTTTATTTTTCATTTGAAAACAATGTGTCAAGAAGAATCCATTGTTGCTTTTCGCTGGATCAACAAAAACTCATTGGTAAACCTTAAAATAATTGGCCCTAAAGTTAATAAGATAACATTCCAAATGTTGTTGTATTATTGGTGTGGTGCCCCGTCAGCCATTAGTGAACGGATAATGCCAAGAGACCGAATTTGCAAATTAAATTATGTGTCACTAATAAAAGATAAGCAAGTTAACCGACACTTGATTGATAATCCAATCATCTAGAACCACATTATTTGGTTTAAAAAATTTAATCTTGCTAGCGTTACCCAAACTGTAGAATACATAATAGAATACAGCAAAAGAACAAAACCTCTAAGAGATAAAAAAAAACCACAAAAGAAACATATGAAACTAAGCCTTTAATTTGCACTAGGCACTCTCAAATGTTAACAAGACTTTCCGTTCGAATTCACAGGAACCTTCAGTTTGCATGCCACATTATACTTATTAACTAACAATCTTTCTTTCATCGAACACGGTACCGCCGCCAATTTAGTACGGCTACTGCACTTGAACATTCTTGCACTTGGTAGGGTTGAATTTGAAACCACCTGCACATGTTTCATTTTAACTACTTAATGGAACCTTCACTTGCTTGCAATAGATCTTCGTCAAGTCTGTCATTTTCTTCCATATCCTGACGCGTTTGTATCTGATCCGAAGATAAAACTCTACACGAATGTTGTAAACACCAGCCGCATGCAGTCTCCGAGTTAAACCTAGAAACGTAACGTGTTCGAAACTTAACCCACTGCTGCCCTTGAAGAACTCCAGGCACAATTGTGGTGTTCTTGTGGTCTTGGTAAAACGGTGTCGAACTCAAACTCGCAACAAAAAGCTTCTTGTTTCGGTATTTGCCAATGACTTGGATGCCATGGTAGTCTAAGCCGGCCCTTTTGTTGGAATTTCTAATGGTAAAGTTGAGTGCAAGGTTGTAGTTGAGAATGTTGTTTCTGCCGGCAGCGAAATCAAATTGGGTGAGAGATGCGTCAGTGATGGTGATTTTGGGCTCATTGGGATGGACGAATACCCAGATTAAGGAGTAGGAGGAAAAGGCTATTACGCCGGGGATGGCGATGATGGCGAGGATGACACGAACGCAGCTGCAGTAGTCACGCCATGGACAAGGCATAGTGTACTATGTGGAACTAATGCAAACGTACGTATAAAGTTTAAAACACACAAGGGTTTAAGGGAAAGTTTTAGCTTTGTCTTATGAACAAGTGATGATACTGCAGTTCTCCGTACGCGTGAGAAGAGTACTCTTTCATACAATTCTGATTTATAAACTAAGGCATTTACATAGCCTTCAAATTAACCCTAATTCAAGTAGGAAAGCAAATAGGATAAAGGGAAAGTCATACTATTACGACCGGGAAATGGAAGCTATATACTAAATCCTTGTGGAAAAAGAGTTAGAACTACGGTCTAATGGTATCCCTCTTCATATTACCATGAGAAGCTGCAGATTTCTTACAGTACAGATCAACCACATTCAAATGCGGTTGCTCATACATTTTACTGACAGTTTATCACACTTTACCTTGAGAAGCTGCAGACTTCTTACAGTACGGAGTCAACCACATTCAAATGTGGTTGCTCATACACTTTACTGACAATTTATCACACAGAGAAGTGTTTTGGGCTATTTTTGTTGTTTTTTCTTGATTTCTGAAGCTCTTAAGTAATCTTTATTAGGGGACCTACTATATTGAAATTGTTTACTTATAGATCTGCAAGTACTTCTAGTCCTTTGCTGCCCGTTTGAATTCCTACTGTATCGAAGTTTTGGATTTTACTGGGTTTTGGGCAACGCACATTGATTTCTATACCTGCTGCTTGATTCCGATCATCGTCATTTGTGCTTAATAAATGATAGGTGCATTATTTATCATATTTTCATATTAATTATCCCAAAGTTTTGTTAAGGAATTGATTACAAAAAAGCCTTATTACTTTCATTTTCTCAATTTCAGCCATTCTGCACACTTAGAACATTTTTGGTGATAATTCGACTTTCCAAAGGAGTTTTGATGCAAGGCCAATTGGCGAAGGTGATAGAGATTTTACCACACATGCAAACGGGTTAAAAACTCCTATATTACTTGCAAGAATGACAAGGTTGTTGTAGTATAAACGGTTCTCGCAAGGTCGTTCTCCACAGGGATTATTAAATAATTCAAAACAAACCAAATTCCAATTAATTATTGTAAAGCAGAAAGTTGAGATAATTGGTCTTATAACCTACTCAAATTAAAACGAATTTAATTAATAAAAATAAACTAATTTGCAATATTAAAGATGAAGGGAAAAGAAAACTGTTTTGGATAAATCAAATTAAGAAAACACTAGGGTTCCACCATCACCTAGCAATCCTATGTATTTTTACCAATTAATTATGATCTATACATGCCACTTTGAAGGTTAGGTTTTCCTAATTTATATTCTACTTGGAACCACCAACACAGAACGTATATCTAACATGCAACCCGTCCGGACGTTCGGATCAAATCTAAACATGAGAGACTCATTATGCTTTATGAAAACCCTTTGAAAAACCATGCAACCCTTAAGATGTGGTGTTCATCTTAAATGAAATTACAATTATTAATCACAAGAAGCCAGCATCAATTTCAGGGAACCTTCCGACC